GAGCAACTTAGTGAGAGTCACTGAGCAACTTGGTGAGAGTGACTGAGAAACTTGATGAGTCACTGAGACAACATGGTGAAAGTCACTGAGCAACTTGGTGAGAGTGACTGAGCAACTTGGTGAGAGTCACTGAGACAATATGGTGAAAGTCACTGAGCAACTTGGTGAGAGTGACTGAGCAACTTGATGAGAGTCACTGAGACAATATGGTGAAAGTCACTGAGCAACTTGGTGAGAGTCACTGAGTAACTTGGTGAAAGTCACTGAGCAACTTGGTGAGAGTCACTGAGCAACTTGGTGAGAGTGACTGAGCAACTTGATGAGAGTCACTGAGACAATATGATGAAAGTCACTGAGCAACTTGGTGAGAGTCACTGAGTAACTTGGTGAGAGTGACTGAGCAACTTGATGAGAGTCACTGAGACAATATGGTGAAAGTCACTGAGCAACTTGGTGAGAGTGACTGAGCAACTTGGTGAGAGTCACTGAGACAATATGATGAAAGTCACTGAGTAGCTTGGTGAAAGTCACTGAGTAGCTTGGTGAGAGTCACTGGGAAACTTGGTGAGAGTCACTGAGCAACTGGCTGAGAGTCACTGAGCAACTTGGTGATATTCACTGAGCAACTTAGTGAGAGTCACTGAGCAACTTGGTGAGAGTCACTGAGCAACTTGGTGAGAGTCACTGAGCAACTTGGTGAGAGTCACTGAGCAACTTGGTGAGAGTCACTGAGCAACTTGGTGAGAGTCACTGAGCAACTTGGTTGTTCTTTTCAATGCATATGCATGTGTAAGTTAACAATCCCCTTTTGTTTTTGTTTGACTGAATATACAACAATTGTATATCAATTTTGTATGTGATCTTTACTCTCACATCTACCCTGACAGGATACAAGCATATTGGAGGGGTTATGTTGTCAGAAGCTGGTACACAGAGCTGAGAAAGACTGTCCCTCCAAAAGATCCCAAACTCAGAAAGAAATTTTATGAAAAAAAAGTAAGTAAATTATATCTCTTTTTTTATTTTCATGAAGGTTGCATTCATCAGTGATCTGGCTTGCAAATCTAAGAAACACGTTCCCTTGATGTGCTAGTAACCCAACCATTGTTTTTTTTGGTTTTATCGGATCCACTTTATCTCTTATGTTAATAACCACAGTAGTGCCACATGTGTTTGATATGGGGTTCCATGAAATGTATACAAAGCATGTAAAATACTTTGTTTACAAGAAATTTGACTTTGTCGTATTAACTGGCATTTATACCAGAAATAGAGCTGTCATACTCACTTGTTTATCAGGTTCTCAACACCAATAGAGGTATATTATTATTTTATTTTATTGATGCTGTTGTTTCATATTCTGTTCAGTTACAAAGTATCACAGATAGAATACTGAATTCCTACGACACCAGAGTAGATGACTTCCTGTCTGAGATTGATAGATCTGTCGCTGCTAGTCGAGATGTTTTCAGACATTTTGAAGAATCATCTATGCGTGACATCACAGACGATGAGTGGCAGGTAATACAGCTGAAGGTAAGAACAATCCATTCCATGTACATTTCATATCACTGTAATTTTGGCAGATTTTAAGATGCAGGGATATTCTCTAGGTTTCAAATTCACTAGCTTGTGTAGAAAACATTACTGTATTTGCTCTATTAGAAATGCATACATTTGTATTTCGAAATGATCAAGAAATATTTGCTTATTCAACATGGTATTTACAAATGCACATGTACTTCTAATAAAGCAAATATAGTACTACCGGTAGTATACTCACTGAATTTAATTTTTTAACAGATTTGTTGTTGTAGAGATATTATTCACTAGGGTTTAAAATTACTGGTTTGTGGAGTAAGCAATACATTCTATAATTTTGCATATTCACTGAGTTTTAATTTAGTGTATCAGTAAAACTAAGCGAAAATAACCCCCCAAAAAACAGCTAATGATTAGGCTCTGTGCAGTACCACTGGGACCATTCACATAAATATAATGCTGCTTGAACATGTTTCCTACATGTACAAGTAATTACATTCCCATATATTTAATACTGAACATGAAATTGTATAATATTGTGATTGCATAATTCAATTAGCCATTTTGGCTGATTTATCAATCAAATTTTATTTTACATCCAATCATCCAATCATGGGTCGTTTGAAATTGTAAAATTTTTGGAACTAAGAGTGTTTATTAATTTTCATCCTAATTGTGGTGCCAGTCTAGAATGAAATCTTAAAAATGGTTTTGAAATAGGCCTAATATACCTTTATAGTGTAATGTTTTGTAACATAATAATAGGAATTTAACTTCATGTTAGTGGACAGAAATTACCAATTTATCACAGAAAGGAGTATGATAACTCAAGCTCAACCAAGAAATGTGAAGATTCAACTTTAATAATACATCTCTCTGATATAAAAAATTTTTTTCATATTTAATTTTAGGCTGTTCAAAGAGGGCATACTGAATGCCCAATATGTATAATGCCATTAGAATCTACAGGACTGTGTACTGTATCATCACAAACTACAAGCCATATACGCAAGACTATTCTACTATCATGCTCACATGTGTATCACTTAACATGTCTTAATGCATTTGAAGAACTTTCCCTCGGTGAGAAGAAAGTCTGTCCTGTTTGCCGATCAGGATACCAAAAATTACTCATTTAAATTATCATCTCATTGTAATCTGCTCTACAAACTTAGAGAGTACCTCAGCTATCACTGGGATTGCACCAATGCATCATGGGAAATGTAGTTTTGAATGTTGAATGGCTCACCCATCATTTACTACGTATGTGTGTATACTTTAGGGATGAGTTATTCTGCATTTTGTAGACTGTATTGTCTGCATCAAAAGGATGTATTGTCACGAACTATTATGAAAGTAACAACAGGGGAAAAACGAGTTAAAAAATGATCTGTGATTTAGACATTCTCTAAAGGTTACTGAGCATGCTACTATAACAACTTGAACATCATCTGAAAATTTATATATACATGTAGTAGGTGAATATGATAGTGTAAGTATATTCCATACCAATGTTTGTCCAAAAGTTTCAAACCATTCCTTGTTCTCCTGTTGCTACATTACTAATTTGATTTAGCAAAAATTACTCTTAAATCTTAACCAATTTGTAAACAAATGTAAAAATTATATTCTACAACTGTTTATAATTGTGTGCAACAGAAAAATAAAGTACTCCATACATTCTGATTATTGCTGAATGCTTCAAACAGATTCAGCATCATGCAGTGTGATTTAAATACTGAAATTTTGTCAAGCAACATTTTGAATCGCTGGACCTACTTTTCACCAAACTAAAGACATTTTTTTTTTCCATATTTTCTTCAAAAACATTGTTCAACAACTGTAGATAATGTAGCAAAAGAAATAATAGAAAAACACCAATGTAACAATTAATTGGTGGAAATATGTAATGCTTATTAAATCACATCTGTCATTTCAATTTTTTAAGATTATTTCTTCTACTATAGAAAGTGGTGCCTCCTTTGATGGCTTACAGCTCATCAACATAGTTCACGTATCATTTGATTAAAAGATAACTCTTTTGTTATTTGATATTACATCACTCAATCCGTCCTGTCTGTCTGCCGATATCTTTTTTATCTATCTGCACATAATAACTTTCTCCAAATATGGGATGGGAACTCAAAATACCTGGTTGCATGTAGTTAATGCAGGAAGTATCTGGACTCTGAGTACCTAGTCCAGTGGCATACCTGATACAGGGTAGTACCTAGTTTCCTGGAGTATGGTATCTGGTACCCTGAATTTACTGGTGTCATATGTCCAAGATGGATAACTCTTAGAGTGGAGGAAATTAGCAGTGTGCCATTTCTACAGGCCACAGTTTGGTACACCTTATTTGCTGTATTAGAATCACATGTACTTACATACATGTAAATGACAGTGGTGTATCTATAGTAAAAATTAGATGTGTTTTCAATGATTAAGCATACAGTAAATGCTGAATGCTCCCCTCCCACAATACACATGTACTTTGTGTAGTTTATGTTAAAAAAATGCTACACCTGTTTCACAATGTATATAAATGAATGTAAATATATTGGAATAAAATAATGTACCGGGTAATGGAATTTGTCTTCAATTCTTTCTTTTCCCAAAAAGTAACTCTTTGAGCACGCCAAAATTTTCTTTTTTCATCAACTTTTACAAAATAAATCTGCATACTTGTTACCATGACAACCCCATGAAATTCTGTCAATTCTGTCCATGATTAACTAAGAAATTTAAAAAAAATAGATGCTTTATGCCATTATTTTATGGAGTCTCTCACTCGTAATCAATAATTTGTAATGCCTTTTAAAATTTACACATTTTTTTTACTAGTTTGGTGTTATACAAAGAATTTCATGTAGGCATTAATGCTGTTTTAATAGAAATTTATAAAACATTCACCCCAAAAGACCATGTTTCATTCAAATCCAGAAGCGCTTTCATTTGCTATAAAAAAAACCTCACAGGAGCCATATTGGTAACACATATTACCCATGAGTCTTTGCTGGCTTCCATAGTTTACTAGCATGAATTCGCCTTGGCCAGAAATCAGGTACACTATCCAACTATAGTGAAATCCCCAATAAAAACAAGCCATGCATGGCAAGGTCTTTGTTAGTTATTGAATTTAAGATATATAGTTTTGTTATTAGTAATATAGCTAAAATATAACCATGTCAGGAATATGATTATGATGATTGTTTAACGTTAAAAAGATTGAAATTTGTATATGATCGTCAAACGAGTACTTGTCCACATTGAGAGATATTGCTCTTGAACAGCATTAATTAAAACAAAATCAGCCATTTTGAATACATCTATATATCTATAACATGATGTATAATGAATATATAAAATTTGAACATAATCAGTCAAAGCATGTCAGAGATATAGCTCTAGAAGCCCATTCATTAAAACAAAATGGCCGCCATTTTGAATCCGATCTGAAAATTAAAATGACGTGCATCAGGAACCCGTAATGTCTAATGTATGTACCAAGTTTGAACAAAATCCATTCAGAAATGCTTGATATTTGATGATTGTTTGCACAAAAATGGACACTATTAGGCCATTTTGAATAGGATCGTCAAACCAATATATCTATGACATGATGTATGATGAATACTTAAAATTTGAACATAATCAGTCAAAGCAAGTCAGAGATATGGCACTTATACCACAATCATTAAACAAAATGGCTGCCAGTCGGCAATTTTGAATTTTATCTGAAAAACAACCTGATTTGAATCAAGGTCCCATAATGTCTAATGTATTTACCAATTTGAACAAAATCCAACTGTAAACAGCTGAGAAATTCTTGATTTTGAATATTTTCCAGTACAAAAATGGCTGCCATTCGGCCATCTTGAATCAGATAGTGAAACAAATTGATGTGCATATGTATAATATTATGTATGATGTATCAGACTGATGTATGTGTAAATGTAATTGGTCCAGGCATGTCAAGATACAGGTACGGACGCACACACACACACACACACACACACACACATGCTGGTGTAACCGTAGTTGTGACGAGACACGTTGGATTAACTTTTAATATAGTTGCGAACTCGATTTAATTAAACTCAATTACAATGCAATACAACGTAGAATTGCATTTTAATTAAGTTAGAGATGCAGTTTACCTGACAGGTATTTTAATTAGTTAATTAGGAAACCAAGATGACCTCCCTTGTCCACAAAACTATATATTTTCGGAAAGCTTTTTGTATGAATTTTAATTTTTTTTTAGTAATTTTTTTTATATGGACACTGTAGTTTGAAATATGCACAAAAATGTGCTTTTTTGGTCAAAAGTGATTAAAAAAAAATTAGCTCCTAAACCATGCTTCTGTTCGTGTCAAAATTGGTTTGTGGGTACATCTGTTTACTATGAAGAAAGTGCCGTCTTGAAAACTGTCTACCAATTTTGCGGGACAGCAGCCCAAATTTCACTACTTCAAGTTTATGCATAAATTAACAACCAGGCTAGTTGTCTGTACGATTGTTGTAACACTGTTCAACCAAAAACAATGCCCCGACGGCGTTTTGAAGATAAACACATTGTCAATCATTTGTGAAAATTTCAAAACAAAAGGTCAAAGCGTCTAGGAGCTATTTTTTTTAAAGTTCTGGGATGTGCACTAAAAAGTAGCTGAGATAATTGCTAATTTGCATAACAATTCGCTCAGTAAGAAGTTTGCTAATGCTCATAATTGAAATGGCTGTAACAGTTCCAAAATATAGTGCATAATATGGAGATCCCGTCATTTCTTTTTTTCACCATGTTTCTTTTTTATTATTTATGTACAGCCTTGCTAAATCTTGCTAAGCATTCAAATGAGAGAATGTTTGCACCTGTTATCTATATTTTAAAATCGTTTTTTGAGTATGTTCCACTATTCACAATTCTACAAAATTTTAACAGTCTATAGCCAAGACTGTTTGGATAATAAAAAGCAAAAAAAAAATTTCACTCCCAAGTGCCCACAAACCTGCATCTCCACCTTAAATAAAAGTTGAATATCCCATGACTGAACATAGAAATGTTTGCGAAGCTTAGGTTTAATAGTGGGGAAGGTATGGTACAATTATATTAATATTAATATAAATTGAACCATACCTTCCTCCTTTACTAAACCTAAGGTTCGCAAACTTGACTTATATTCGATTAAATATTAATACAAATTATGAAACATTGTGAGTCCCCATGTTTGAGTCTCCACTTGTACAAAAGGCTCCACTTTGTTGGTGTGTGTCCGGACCACTGGCCCCACTTCTACTTCTATACAAACACACACACACGTACGGCCAATTTATAGTTCCATGGGCCAATCAATAAGTCCCCGTTTTCGGACTGTGTCCGAACTGGGACTAAAAATGGCAGTCTGACAAAGTTTACCTGTGTCCTGTAACTACTAGACTATGAGTGAGGATGACAAAGAACGGCTTCAGTTCAACTATTAAATGAAGTAACACTACACAGACTATACTCCATATTACCTGGATCCATGCAATGCAAAGGCGCACTGGAAGTAAATAACAATGGGTTTGTTAGAAAGCCAGTGTAAGGGACTTCCATTAATTTTTGTCAAACATCCTTTTTTAGCGAATTGTTGCCTGCATTGATGGTTAAAGACCACCTATACGCAAACTAAAATTCACAATTTGGTCGAAGCTTTATCAAACTCAGTATTTTTTACTATAAAAATATGATTAATGTTAATAAAATTGTGGTCTATATTATAAATTGTTGACTTAAACACTAAAATAAAAAAGAAGTATGATTTTCAGTTAGTGAACCAATAGAAATTTTTTATATATCAGTTTCAAAATTATATAAAACACAGTCTTATGACAGGAACTGTATATGTAATTCAAACGAAAATGCAAAATATCTACAGGCAATTGTATAATGCGCCCTCAACGGCAGAAACATTTTTAATTAGTCAGTCTATTAAAAGCCGACAACATGGCCGCAGCTGTTTCTGCAACGACGACGACGAAAATGCTTGACGATATCGTCGTTTTTCAAAAGAACGACTTGCCATCGCAAGGATATCCTGTCATGGAGTCAATCAGACGACAGGGAAAACTCTGCGATGTTACTCTCAAGGTAAAATGTCGTAATTCTTTGAATTAATTCATCGGTGTTGCAAACATTTTTGTTGACATTATCAAATCACACAACACAATTAAAACTGTCATTGAATCCATGACTGAATTGCATCCTCCCACAGTCTCATACACGGTTCAATTATAACGCGTTTTCCGGTTAAACCTATATTACATTTTTATTCACTATCTTTCCAATGGCTGCATGGTGGATTTGCCTGGTGGAACATTTCTAGTGTTTTATTTCCAGATCATTGGGTCGAAAAACGATAGCAGCACTAACCTGCTAGTGTTACTGCATTAAAATTGCTGCTGTAATTTTAAAATCCAAATCTTTAAACAATATTCGCAAACGATACGTACTAGAATCCGGGCGATTCGCATGGTTAATTATTGTTAGTTTTGTTTAGATATCGCATTTGTTTTATTATTATGTTAATGACATTCTGCACTCAAAAACACATGCATGACGTAATTTTACGGCTAGTTATTTTGTGCCGACATAGTTGTGGTTGGAGCTAGCCTGCGGCACATTCAATCGCCTGCTAACCAGGAAATTCTGTTTGATTTGCAGCGTAAATACAATGCAAAGAATGCAGCTACTCAATATATCCTCTTGTGGGGAGAAAAATACTTGTAACCTGTGTATTTGTTTTGTAGGAGAAATATGTGAAATATTTTTCATTTCTCAGGTGAACTTAGTATTCTGTATCTCATTACACTATGCAAACACAGACTGTACGCTGGTGATGTTTTGCTGCCTTTCACAAAATTTTTTTTTTTTCCCGGATTTTTGTTTTTAATTTTGATCAAAACTCATAGTAAATGGACATTTGGTACAGAATTAACAAAGAAATTTGAGAAAAATACAAAATCTTGTGCAAAATGTAGCACTAACATTTTAATGCAAAAAAGATGTTGCTTAGAAACCACAAGTTAATCATTGAATGTCAATGGTGACTTTTGTCACCACAAAAGCACAAAAAAAAAAAAAAAATCCTTGCATTATTCTAATTTTTTCTTTAAAAAATGTGATCAAGGTTGTATCGAATGGTAAATTTTTTCCATTTGTGGCAAAAGAAATTATTAAAATATACACAAAAATTTTTTACAATTATTTTCAGGAAAATTGTTGGCGTTTATAAAAATAATAGTAATTATATTTTTATTTACAGCAATGCATGTAAGTGATTAGACATCACTTTCAATTACCGGTACTGGTAATACTGGATATCATTACAAGTTCTTTGTTTGTTTTATATACACGTGCCAGACATTTTTTCATTCCTGGTAAAAAAAAAAATATAATACTCATGGTGCAAACAAAGGCTTTACTTTATTTTTAAAAATTTATAAATTTCAATGGCAGATTAATTAAACCAGCCAATTAGTGCAGTGTGCAACACATCATTTGGAGGTGATTGGAAAAAAAATGTACAAATTATTTTTCCTTTTTTTTGCATGGAGCAATTTTTTTTCGTTATTTTTCCATGTCAAGTTGTTTATTATTTTAAAAATAATAATTTATTTACCCTCCCTCCCTCCTCTAAAGTGATAGTCATTTTCTAACCTGTGACTAAATTATTTAAGTCCCTCCCATCGTATAACATATGTCATTGCTTTGATTGGTAGGTCGGTGAGCAGAAATTCTCCGCCCATCGGATTGTTTTAGCGGCAGCCATTCCATATTTTCATGCCATGTTTACACATGATATGGTGGAAAGCAAACAAGATGAAATAGTTATGCAAGGAATTGAACCAAGGTAAGTCTATACAGTATAATAATATAATATTTTTTTGAAAAATTCTGTACAGTCAGAACAGAACATAATATTTAGCTGACTTAATTAACCCCTTGAGCACAAAATGTTTTTCCCGCTCAAATTTGGTTAAATTTGCTCACATTTTCTGTAATTTTCATCAATTTTAATTTTAATTTTGAACAAAACATACATAGTGTAAAAATTGCTTCTAATTTTTGATCAACAAATTTGACATTTTTGCAGTATTTCTTGTACAAAAGAGCAGACTATAAATAGAACTATTTTGTGGAGGTTGCCTAAAGTTGACTAAAAGGGTTAAAGCTAGCTTAGATTGCTTTAAAAATTGCCAAATATCTAAATTGTGCAGAATAATAAGCCTAAATATGTCAAACATTAATAATATTAGTAAATGCCACAAGAAAGCGTTTGATGATAATAGTGCTTACTTGTAATATTTTTAATAGAAAGGCAAAGTAAACTTATTGCCAACTTTGGAGTTGAGTTGCACTCTGACTGTACTGTACAAATGAAAAAAAAAAATGAAAAAAAAAATCATAAAATATATATAAAAAAAAATTATTTATAATTTCAATGTCTCCATGTAATTTTGTTTTAAATTATGAGGAAACTATTAAATAAATAAATCCACCAACATTTAGCATCACTAATGTGGTGAAAATTTAAAAGGCATGGTGTGAAAAACCTTGGCAGGAGTTAATCTCTTATTGTCTGTTATGTGCACTCTGGATTTTCCGTTTTTTGAATAGTGTCTAATTGCTTCACATGATTGAGCATTATTATGATATCAAACTTTCTCACCATTCACAAAATAAAACCTTAATAATCATTTTCATATATTTTTCATATTTAATGTTCAATACATTTACATATAAGGCAATAACAAAACTATTTTAACTCATTGGACACCAGAATTTTTCCTGCCAATTTTTTTGTACAAGATTTCGCACATTTTTCATGTATTTTTCTATCACGTCTTTGTTAATTTTAAACCAAATGGACATAGATTCCAGTTGGCAACAGGTTTCGATCAAAATTGTAGAAAAAAAATTAGAAAATTGACAAAAGTTGATTTTGGTGTTTAAACAAACAAAGTCGTAATTTATGAGATTTACAACAACAAAATACACAACTGTATTGTGGGAATTCAATGTATCATGAATTGCATATTCTGAATGCAGCACATGTACAGAAATAAACAAAATCTAAAATTCTTAAATTAACAAATTTATTCTTAAATTCTTTTTTTTTAAATATATAAATTGATATTGCATGTGGGATAGATTTACATGTAATATTTTTCCAAAACTTGCCTCTAAAATACAGCATTAAAATTTTAAATTTTATAAGACAATACAAATAAAGGTCATTCATTATATTAATTAATAACAATAACTTTATTATATAATATTTCAGTTAATTAGAGTTTAATTGTTTCTACTGGGCAGTAGTTTCATGTCGATCCACGTGTAGTTTCGGAATTGTTCTTAATGTTTAATATTCGGTGACTAGTGAACTATTGATAAGTACATACAGAGATAAATCATCTGTTTTAAATTTGCAAGGTGACTGCATGCCATCTGATGACCCTTTTTTCACGCATGCTTACTCTATTCAAAGATTGTGTCTGATTGGCTGTCCAACACTAACATCTAACAGTCAGACCAATCAGAGAGCAGCTTGTTTGTTGATGGGTTTTTTCGATGTAGCAAATTCTGCCTTACGTATGTGCAACTCAACTGTTGAAATGCAGGTCTTCAAATATATAAACATGTATAATAAAAGATTATAGCATCTAAAACTACTAGATTATTTTATCAATATTACCGTAAAAGCTACTTCACCATGTTTGTAATTTTCTTTATTTAAAAATAAATGTCCAAACAGAAATAAATCATGCATTTTTATTTTGGGAGGTGACATCAGTTGACCCCATGACCTTCGCATGCAGTCTAATAGACCCAAATAAAAAGGTGCTGCTTCTCAATCGACCTAGAGAAAATTGAAAAATGATGTCCTGCTGCAGTTTCAATTTTGTTGTTGTTAATTAAGGTTATGTAATACCACAACAACGAGATATTTATTGAATAATTTTGAGTACATGCATTAAAGGTTGATTTGTGTCAACAAAACATGCTCTGAATCAATCTATTTCCTCATTCTACTTTTCCGGTATGCAAAATTGAGAAGAAAAAACGACTTTTTTTCAGTATTTTGCAAGCTGACAAATTATTTCTTCTGTACATTTATTCAGAAGCATACCACAATATGTTTCACTGATCGTCATTCAGTATTAAAGTAAATTGTTCTGACAGTGCTTCTAAGACTTAAAAAATGTTTTTGGTCCTTAAATGTTCAAAAAAATGGTGTGACATGCTTTTTTTCTTCTGTTATTTTTACATTTTGACATGAAAGCAAAAAAAAATAGTGGGCTTCCCCATTTTGTACTGCCATGCATACTAAAAATAAACAAATGCATTTTCTGCCCAATAGAAAAAATTACTCTTATGGTTTTTCCACCTTTCACAAAATAAAACCTGCAACTTTATTTTTTCAAATTTGTGCAATATTTTGATAAAAATTCAGCCAATAAGAAGTACCCATTTTGTCCAAAGTCATCTAAAACTTTTAAAAGTCAAATATAGTGTTTGAATTGTGAAATCCACGAGAACATTTCTCAACCGATAATGTGGTTATCACAAAAAATTATTCCCAAAATAAATTATTTTTTCTGTATCAGAGGCATTTTAATTCACAATTTTTAGTTCTACACATTGCTTGTCAAGCCAGTAAGGTTTCAAATAAGTGTTCATCATATGGTACTCATCCCCACTCTTCTCTTTTCTTACAGTGTTTTAGAATCCTTTGTTAATTATGCGTATAACGGTCGTGTTGAGTTAGATGTAAACAACGTGCAATCAATATTAGTTGGTGCTAGTTTTCTACAGTTACAAGCCATAAAGGAAGCCTGCTGTGAATTTCTTAAAGAAAGGTAACGTATATTGTATTGTTGTACACCAACAGCTGTTGACAAAACACCAAAAGAGATTATAAACACAGTGAAACCTGTCTAAACTGAACACCAACAAACTGATAGAGTAAAACGTGTCTAAACTGAACACCAACAAAGTGATACAGTAAAACCTGCCTAAACTGAACACCAAAGAGACTGATACAGTAAAACATGTCTAAACTGAACACCAAAGAGACTGATACAGTAAAACCTGTCTAAACTGAATTCCAACAAACTGATACAGTAAAACCTGTCTAAACTGAACACCAACAAACTGATACAGTAAAACTGTCTAAACTGAACACCAACAAACTGATACAGTAAAACTGTCTAAACTGAACAATAAAGACTGATACAGTAAAACCTGTCTAAACTGAACACTAACAAACTGATACAGTAAAACCTGTCTAAGCTGAACACCAAAATGACTGATACAGTAAAACCTGACTAAACTGAATCCCAACACTGATACAGTAAAACCTGTCTAAACTGAACACCAAAGAGACTGATACAGTAAAACCTGACTAAACTGAACACCAAAGAGACTGATACAGTAAAACCTGACTAAACTGAACACCAAAGAGACTGATACAGTAAAACCTGTCTAAACTAAACACCAAAGAGACTGATACAGTAAAACCTGTCTAAACTGAACACCAACAAACTGATACAGTAAAACCTGTCTAAACTGAACACCAACAAACTGATACAGTAAAACCTGTCTAAACTGAACACCAACAAACTGATACAGTAAAACCTGCCTAAACTGAACACCAAAGAGACTGATACAGTAAAACCTGACTAAACTGAATCCCAAAGAGACTGATACAGTAAAACCTGTCTAAACTGAACACCAACAAACTGATACAGTAAAACCTGTCTAAACTGAACACCAAATAGACTAACACAGTAAAACCTGACTAAACTGAACACCAAAGAGACTGATACAGTAAAACCTGTCTAAACTGAACACCAACAAACTGATACAGTAAAACCTGTCTAAACTGAACACCAAAGAGACTGATACAGTAAAACCTGTCTAAACTGAACACCAAAGAGACTGATACAGTAAAACCTGTCGAAACTGAACACCAAAGAGACTGATACAGTAAAACCTGTCTAAACTGAACACCAAAGAGACTGATACAGTAAAACCTGTCTAAACTGAACACCAAAGAGACTAACACAGTAAAACCTGACTAAACTGAACACCAACAAACTGATACAGTAAAACCTGACTAAACTGAACACCAAAGAGACTGATATAGTAAAACCTGTCTAAACTGAACATCAAAGAGACTGATATAGTAAAACCTGACTAAACTGAACACCAAATAGACTGATACAGTAAAACCTGTCTAAACTGAACACCAAAGAAACTAACACAATTAAACCTTTCTAAACTGAACACCAAAGAGACTAACACAGTAAAACCTGACTAAACTGAACACCAACAAACTGATAAAGTGAAACCTGTCTGAACAGAACACCAAGGCGAATACAGTAAAACCTGTCACCTGTGACACTGAAAGAAATGCCAATCCTCGGTGGCCATTTTGAATAATGATATCAACATTAAAACCCTCTACTTTTCTCTGAGTGCTGGGAATATTCCTTTATATAAAAACATTCACAGAACAGACTGTGATTTGTTGTTTGAATGCTTAAAGGTTGTATGGGTTATCATGATTACCGGTATGTTGCATTACATTGTCACTAAGATTGAATGCTCCAGGTTATAGTACACACTGTAGTTACATTTAGTAGCTTGACAGGTCATTCATTTCTTTAGAGCCAGGTCTAATCAGACTTACCCTGTATATGGTCCAAGCGTCACTTAATTAGCTAGCCTAAAGCGAAAACTTTGCTTGCTTTCAAAACTGCCACATATCTAAATTGTGCGGAGTAAAGTAAGTACATGATGAAGCTGGCTTTAAAAATTATAAGTTTTTATGAAAAGGCAAAACAGCCAGGCTGGAATTTAAGTTACACCCAGACGGTACTGTACAGTGTATTTAGAGAGTTTTATTTGCGTAGCCCAGCCTTTTTTCTGCATGTGTTAACATTTTAATCCAGTTTTTCTGTAACATGTTGTCAACTTCGCCTTGTGTTGATTTTGTTCTTTTTCATATTTTTTACAGGTTAAACCCGTGTAATTGTCTAGGAATTCGTACATTTGCTGATACTATGATGTGTTCGAATTTACAAGAAGCTGCCAATAGCTACCTTCATAAACGATTTATAGATGTATCAAAATCCGACGAGTTTTTAAATTTATCAAAAGAAGAAATATTTGAAATTTTATCGTGTGATGATTTAAATGTGAAAGGAGAGGATCAGGTATGTACTGAAGTTACTGACTCTGGGTTATTTGAGCTGTAGGTAAATAATGTGACAAATAATTGGTAACTAGAACATGTACATTGCATGATATTTCACCACAAGTTCTTATAACCTTTCCATTTGATGAAATGTTAACCTTTTCACCACCAGACTTTCTTGCTCAAATTTGTCTCCACTTTTTTCTTGTATTCTTCAATATTTATTGAAATGAACCCATATTTTGGAGCCAACAAACAAAATTTGAGTAAATTCTCAGTTCTTACAAACAAAATACGACTATTTTTGAATTTTCTGAAAGAAAGTGCAGACTATAAACAGGACAATTTTGTGAATTTGTGATGAAATGAGGGAACTGGTGGTTAAAAGGTTAGGTTAGCAGGATATTCTTTTTTCCAGAAAAATGGCCAAAACCTATCCGTATGTAGAAAGCATTTGGCCTGAAATTATCGAAAAAAACAGTTTATCGTGTAGACTGTGTTTTAGGGTCCCATGACTCTAATAAACAGATACGATAAATGAGCAACATGAATAAAAAACACTAGTAGCATATCAACTTTTATTTGTGCTGTAAAGAAAAGCTTCAACTGTACAATTTTGTCTGCATCAGAGGCATTTTGGACAATGCATTGAAGAAAATATCTCTAGTGTTGCCATAGAGGGCGCACTTAAATATACCTTTGCTATATAGTATCTGCCAAGGTATAGTGGTGAAGCGATGGCTGAATAAACAAACCTTGGCTGGCTAAGATGCTATATAATTTTTCTCTTTAATTCTAGTATTTCACATTTGACCCAATATTCTTTTTTGTATTATTTCTTAATTTAGAAATTTGATCCAATTTTTTTTTTGTGTTTAATTTGTTATGTAATGCCCTATTTAGTTTGTAACTTATGCAGCTCCTATTTACATGTATTTTTTCAAACAGTGAGCCTCTGATACAAATGAGTTGCAACAAATAAATGAATATGCAGGATTGTTTATTTTGTGAGAGAAAATATCACTGAATTTCTTTGTTAAATGGTAATTTTGTCAATAGATATTCAAAACTGGAGATTAAATAAAATTAAGGTTGTTTGCCTTGAATAAATTTAAAATGTCTGTGTAGAAACTACCGTAAAACACTAAACCTGCAATTATTGTTCATCCTTTTAGTCTTTATACTGAGTATTATTTGGTCAGACCGATGTTTCTTTTATTGTACAGGTACATTGTATATATACAAATAAGTTGCATCAGCTCTGCTCAAAGGTAATCATTGTATGGTTATGTTTTCAGTAACACAGGTTCGACATTACTAATAAATTATCTGGTTATTTACAGGTATTTGAAGCACTTGTTGCATGGGTAAAACGTGATATTGCAAATCGGCAACAGTACATGCCTGAGTTACTTGCCAAAGTTCGATTACCACTTATTAGGCCACAAATATTAACAGACAGAATATCAACTGAGGAGCTAGTAAAGACATGTCACCAATGCAGGTTGGTGAATTCCTAGTTTTATTGCAGTACTTGATGCATTTTTCCGTAATTAGAGCATTGGGCTCACATATTTAACACATTAGCATGGTGCACATTGGTCGTAATGCCATTATAACCATAGAAACAAGTTTGGGGTGACTTGAATTTTTTATTTGCTCATTATCATTTTTTGATGGACCTTTCACCAACCAAAATATCAAGAGTTTGTAAAGCTTTTAAAAAGTCCACATTTGTTAAGGAATGTGTCCATAACTACATTTTTTGTTACTACCGTTATTCTTGATGCTTGTGATTCAAAGTTTAACAAGCTAACTTTTGTTGACAACAGATGTTTATCCTGTGTGTCATGCAATGTTACAAGTGGACAGAGTGCAATTAACAACTTGCAACTTGTTGAAAGAAAAGAGCATTTCTCTATTTCAATCAACAATTGGCAATATCTTGACAACAGTCTGTCAACACGAAACATGGCATGATACACGGATCAATGTTTGTTGTCAAAACAAATTTACCTATGTAAGCTTAATCCTCTCTTAAGGCGCCAATATAATCCTTCAGTCTTCACGATTCTGAGCAAGCCAACGAATCTCAGGTTTTTCCCATTTATCCCATTTCCTCTTCCACTGTCTTCCACCAGGTGTCCAACGGTCTGCATCTTCTACTTTTTACATGTGGTGCCCATCTGAGTGCAGTGTGTTGGTGTCTGGTTTCATCACGTGGCCCAGCCATCGTCAGCATCTTTGTTTTACTCTATGAATGATACTTTTGATACCTGTGCATCTACTGATTTCTTTGTTTGTAATATGCTGTGACCAGTGTACTTTCAGAATTCAGCAGAGACAGCAGCTTTCAAAACCTCTGTGCCTGTTCTCAATTTTCTTGTTGGTTCTCCAGGTTTCTGCTGCATACAGGAGGACCAAGCGGACATTTTACTTTGTAGACCATATGACCTATGTATCATGGCTTTAACCCTTAGCCAAGAATTATTATTATTATATTACTCACTGTTATATTATTTTTTTTTAAACCAGAGACCTAGTTGATGAAGCCAAAGATTATCATTTAATGCCAGAAAGAAGAGCACAATTACAGAGTGCAAGAACCAGACCTAGATGTTGTAATGATATTACAGGAATGATTTATGCTGTAGGTGGTTTAACCAATTCAGGTGCGTGTCGTATATGGTTTCAATAATCTCTTTGTTGCACTGACTGCCGCTTGTCTAGTCTACAGAAAAGAAATAACACTGTTACACTACTGCAGGGTCAATAGAGTTGGGAAAATTCTTTGGATTTTTTGAGGTCTGGAAAGTCTTTGTGTTGTCTATATATATTACAGGAAAAATGAAAAAAAATCTTTGAAAAGTCTTTAAATTTCTTCATAGTTATTAATTTATTTTAGAAAGGCCTGTTTTCTCCAGGGAACTACCATATCCTCAGAATTAGATGAGCTTTGGTGATGATGTTGGCCTGAATTAAGGGTCAAAATGTGGAAAAATTCAAGAAAGTTGGGAAAAACGTCTGGAAAACTTGGAAATCATTTGGCTCTTGGTGCTATGGACCCTGTACTGTTATGTGGGGTAAAATATTTACCCATATTAAAAAAGCTTTCAGATCTCAATTAAACTATACTCTCCAGAAACTTTTTTGGCATTTTTTTTCACTTCTAATTTTGCTAGAAAATGTTTACTTTATTATAATTTAAAAATTTTTTTTTTCTGAACTTCTTGCAAGCAATCACATTGTAAGTTCATAGATGATAATAAAAGTAGCTTCATTGCATGCATGCTTTGAACAGGGGAACTAGAATTAGGGTAGGAAAATGTGAGATCTTGGACAGGAAAAGGAACAATTTTTACCACCCCTTGATTTCAACTGGTCTATCCCTTGTTTTACCTAACATGTGCTTTACTTTGTTTACTAGGTGAATCTTTAAGCACAGTAGAAGTATATGATTCAATATGTAACAATTGGGTGCCAGCTAAACCAATGAGTACACTGCGTAGTCGTGTGGGTGTGACTGTATTGAGTGGTCAATTGTATGCTATTGGTGGATATGATGGACAGTCAAGACTCAGTACGGTGGAGGTATACGACCCTGTTGTTAAAGAGTGGTGGGAAGTGGCTTCAATGAACAGTAAACGAAGGTAAACATAAATTATAGACATTTAAGGTTTGCACTTTCAATCTGTACTACCATGGTATGTTTAGATTGATTGGTTGGTGTTTTTTGATATTTTATGATATGAATATGCATTTTACATATATTGAATAAAGAAAAAAAAAGCAGTACAAATTCTTGTCATTTTACTATAAACAAATACGTGTTTAGGTACCCGAAGTTTTAAAAAGTTAATTTCAATAACATTTTAGGTAATTTCACGAGTCTTTCAGCTCAAAAAAATATTAGGTTGATCCCTATTTTTCTTGCATAAAATTTTTCTTCACATTGCCTGAAATTGCTATATATCAACATTTTTGTGGGTTGGTGTTTCAATGGGAGTATGAATCATATTTGAATCCAACACTAAAATGAACCATATGCTATCTTCACAGTGTTTGTGTCTGTTGCAGGTGTCTTTTTTTTATCTTTTCTTCTGATTGTTGCTGAATATGTCATATGTTTCTTGCATGTTTTCTCCAGTGCACTAGGTGCAGCTGCCGTTGATGGTAGAGTCTATGCATGTGGTGGGTATGATGGTATCTCATCTTTAAACTCAGTGGAAGTCTATGATCCAGAAAATGACAAGTAAGGATTACCCACAATTCCCCCACACATCCCAGTACTGGTACATCAATGAAAATTCAGTTATTTTTTTTCTCAAAAAAATTCAAAAATTATATATCTGTCATCGTTATGCTATAAGTTACAGCGTGTCATAATTTTGCAGTATTGCACTGGGTATTTTTATTCTACAATATTAGGAAATGTAAACTCTAAATATTGAACGATTATGCAAGTAAACGTCCTCTACTAATAAAAACAAACATGGCATTCCCATGATGTATTCTTAGCTGGAAAAGATGTATGATAATAATAAGGTTATTACACATTGGTCGACACTATTGCACATTGGTTGATACTACTGCTGCACTGTCTTCTTACATACTTTGCGGTATCCTCGTAATAACTATTACGACTGTATTATGACTTTTTTAATAAATTATGACTTGGCCTAAAATTAATGACAAAGTTTTAGAAAAATATGCAAAATGATGCACCCAAACTTTGGCGAGATAGTGCTTTTTGTTAAACATATTCTGTTTTTCTCCTTCTAGATGGCACATGGTTGCTAATATGAACAAGTCGCGAAGTGCAGCGGGTGTTGCAATATTTGATGGTCAAGTGTGTGCCGTAGGAGGACATGACGGATTGTCAATATTCAGTTCGGTAAGTTGTTAATTAATTACAAAGGGATGTTGGATCATACCATGCATTTGAAAGACTGGAGTATGTTGTACATGTGATATTAAAAATTGTATGAAGATTAGGTAAGTAATTTGTTGCTGGTTAAACACATTTAAAAAAACGAATTTTGAATTTTACTTTTACTGGACTGGACTTTTGCATTTCAAATAACTTTTTTACAGCCATTTTATGATTATTTTTTGGAGTCTTGCTGATAAAATCTGTTTATTCAAAACTACCATGTTTTGTATTAGAATGTATTGTGGCACAGTTTTACTGAAAACATGTGTTTTTCATTGTTCACTAATATTATTTTTTGGAAATGAGGCTTTTTCAGCCAATTGTATCATGCAACTTCCTTGTCTCACATGGACAAAATGGCCGCTTTGATCAAACTGAAAGGATTATGGGGCACGATGTGTAGTTGTTTGGTATTTCTCTCCTCACAGTCACAAGTAGCCATCATTGAATGTAGTTTTCATTTTGTGTGTCTGGCAAGTCTTTTGTTGCAAGATTTACTATACTGTGGGCTAATACTTTGCTTAAAAAAGGAGTTGTTTCTGGTTTTTATAAACATAAATGTCATAACCGTGAAAGTTTTTTTCCGTAGCTTTTGACTCAAGTACGTAAATCAGTTCATTGCAGTTCATGAGATGATCAACACATCCCTGATTCATACATGTACCAATTACGTAAACCATTTCACTTATCACTAATTATTCAATAAATGAATTGATATTGGATGCAGAATTTTCTTTATGTGCAACAAAAGAGTAATTTGGACTATTTTCTAGTTTTTATTTTCTTTGGTGTTCTTATATGAGTAATGTCGCACGCAATGAACGGTTCCATTGACAAATTTGTCATGATTAACACTGTAGTTATTAACTTTGTGGGGGTTTACTAGAGGTTATCAACTGATAACGACGGTACAAATGACTTCATGGGCTAGTGATGTCGCACACAATGAATGGTTCCATTAAAAAAATTGTCATCCTGAGCGACACATAATTGTATATTAAAGTTGGAGTATGTTTATGATTAACACTGTAGTTGTGAACTTTTTTATAAAATGCGGACCACAACTGTGGGGGTTTACTAAAGGTTATCAACTGATAACGATTGTTTATAGATCTGATTGATACAAATGATTTCATGGTCTAGTATTATTCATTAACTGAAGTTGAGTTGATACAACACCAAGATAGCACTACCTCAACATATAAGTTACACAAGGAGATAACCTTTTTTATCACACATCAACTCCGAGCATCGTTTATGTCACACAACATTTTTTTTTTCACATGTTGTGCGAGCACACACAGACTGATGATATTTAACCATATTTATTGTGAAATATCAATTAGTGATAATTAACACTAAACATAATTACTATGAATGACATGTTCTGTGGTCTTGTGATAAAATCGTAAATACACAGTGAGCAGTAATTAATGACTTATTCCACAATTCAAATGTTCATAAAGTGTCTTCCTAAGGTTAACTTCCTTATATTCTGTTAAAGTCTGATGTACGTATGATTAATAAAACTGCACCAACGTAACCAACGTGCAATTTCTAGTCTATATACTAAACTGTAGTATTTCAGTTCGTGATGATTCACCCTAAACGTCATTACGATAACATGTGATAAAATCATAAATACACAGTGAGTAGTAATTACCGACTTATTCCGCAATGTCAAATTGAAAGGTTCATCAAGTGCCGAACTAAGGTCAGCTTCCATAAATACAAAGTCTGTTATACGCATGATTATTTGTTGGCTAAATCTGCACTGAAATAACCAACATGCAAAGTCTAGTCTGTACACTAAATTGTAAGTTTTCAAAATAGCATACTTATTGCATACATTTTACTTATAACATACTAGTTTCTAATATATAAACCATATAAACCAAACGTCATATTTGTTGTGTACTGAATCATAATAACCCTAATCCTGCCAGCCCTATGTATTTTACATTGAATTGCCCAGATAAGTGTTAAATCTTTACATATTCTGTCTGTAGAAACACTTCTGTAATTCACGTAAGCACATACACTGCTAATTAAGCAAATATAATATGCTATGTTACAATTATAGTGGTTTATGCAATATGTTAGTTTGCAAGTACGAGTAATACACACTCTGCACATTGAATACAACTGTATTACTGTAAAATGACTAATTTTCACTGGGTTTAAATTTCACTGATTTACCATTTCAGGCATATTCAGTGGGTTTTAAATTCACGGTTTCGTCATTTAGATAATGTGTTCTAAGCTAAATTTTACATATTCACTGTGTTTTAATTTAGCGCATTTTTCCAGTCAGCGAAATAAGCTAAATTAAAACCCAGTGAATAATTACCCCCTTTACAGTATTTTAAAATCTGATGGTGAAGAGACATGTGCAAGTTAACAGAAATAAAGGTATGACCAGTATTGCTTTCTGACTTTATACTGTACACATATTTTCAGGTTGAATCTTTCAATCATTTTACTGGACGCTGGACAATGTTACCACCGATGTTGACAAAAAGATGCCGTCTTGGTGTTGCAGCACTCAATGGTAAACTATATGTGTGTGGTGGCTACGACGGTTCTGTCTTTCTCAATTCTGTGGAAATCTTTGATCCTGTACTCCAACAATGGTCGTTTATTGCACCAATGAAGTCGCGAAGAAGTCGTGTGGCACTCTCCGCAAACTGTGGTAAGCTGTACGCCATTGGCGGTTACGATGGACTGACTAATTTGAACACTGTTGAGATGTATGATCCACAGATGAACACTTGGACCGATGTAGAACCGATGTCTGGCCATGAAGGCGGTGTCGGCATTGGTGTTATACCACTTATGCCACTTTGATGAATTCAGATTATCTATAATATGTATATGTATCAAATAGTCAATGTTCTTAAGACGTTGAATTTATTTTGCCGAGTCTATATATGTGATCATCCTGTATATCTGATTTCAACAACACTAAGGTTTTTGTATTCAAGCTTTTTTCTGATGACCTTTTTAGCTTCGCTGTCGACTTTGTCGAGTGGAGCTTATCATACGAGTGACTGTCCGTCGTCCGTGTCAGTGTTTTATATTTTTGAAAACTACAAGCCTGAATGCTTTGATACTTGGTGTATATGTGCCTTGGGTAGACCTCTCTCAGATTTGTTTATTTCATGATGATATCTTCAATTCTTTAATTTTGGTGAATATTTTTGTCATTTTTGGTAAAAAGTGATATTTTTGACTTCTTGTTAAAAACCGCAAGTCCTATTGCTTTGATATTACATATATAGGTACTACATGTGGATCTCTCAGATTTGTTCATTTTGTAATGATATCTACAATTCTCTAATTTTGGTGAATATTTTTGTCATTTTTGGTAAAAAGTGATATTTTCGACTTCTTGTTTAAAAACCGTAATTCCAATTGCTTTGATATTACATACATAGGTACTACATGTGGATCTCTCTCAGATTTGTTCATTTTGTAATGATATCTACAATTCTCTAATCTTGGTTAATATTTTTGTTATTTTTGGTAAAAAGTGATATTTTTGACTTCTTGTTGAAAACAGCAAGTCCCATTGCATTGATACTATGCATATTGTTCATTTTCTAATGATATCTTCTGTTCTTTAATTGAAATGTGCATTGCTAACAGCGGAGCTATCTCAGCCAAGAGGCTGCTTGTTCTATAGTCAATTGTCTCTATTGTGACAGTGCTGTGTTTGCTCTATTAGTAGTGCTTGTGTGTACAGAGGTGTATCTATGGTCAAAATATATATAGTATACAATAATGCATTTTTTTGTGATGCGCTTCAAATAGAGCAAATACAGTACATGATATATAATTGTCATCATTGAAAATATGAAGGAGAACAATTTTCTGGAGATCTTTCGTAAGTGCAGCTTTTACGATCTACACAACAAAACAACAATTCTGCCAATAAAAATTCTTCAAAATTATGCAGATTATAATGAAAATAATTATCTATTGTTTATGACATGCATGTGGGTTTTTAAAAAAGCTTTAAATATTTACAATTTTTAGGAAACAATTTATTTACATTTACTGATGCTTTTTAAATTAGTTGATTTTTTTTTATATTAGGGGAATGTATGACATCTTAAGGTCACTCATCCTGGTACTTTTGGGGGTATTTTTGCTCTAAAACAGCAATAATATGAGTTTATTACGAGGATACCGAAAAGTATGCACGAAGACAGTACAGCGGAAGTATCGACTAATGCAACTGCGTACTGTCTTGATGCATACTTTGTGGTATCCTCTTATAACCTTATTATTGTACATCTTTTCCTCCCAATGATACATCATGAGAATGTTGAAATCTAAAGTGTTTAGAACAGAATCAGCGATCTTCTTTGTGTGGAGTCAAACCCTGGTGGCAGTCATGTTTGTTTTTATTATTAGAGGATCATTACACGGATAATCATTACATATTTGGAATTCGCAATTCCTAATATAATAGAATGAAAATACTCTGTAAAATAACAAAATAACGACACGCTGTAACTTATATCTCATATTACACATACATTTTTGAGATGTTTAAATATTTTTAAATTACTCACATTTGGAAGGAAGAGGACAAATATTTGCGAAATTCTGATTGTTATTGAATTGGTACCCCCAGAATTTTACCTGGATGTGTGACCTTTTGGCAAATATTCATACATTAGGCCTGTTAAATTCAGACAAGTTATTTTGGTTGCGGTACAAGTTGTTCATGATTCTTGGTGTGGTCTGTAGATTTAATGGTGTATTCTTATTGACAGAGCTACTACCAAATTTATATAACACTTAACAACTGATGTCGGTTGGCCAATCACTGAATGGTGTTATGCGCACAACACTGAACTGCAGAAAACCACACAATTGCATTCAAACCATGTATTAATTTAAATTTGCAAGCTATATTAAAGTACGCAATACAGTTTAAGTTGCCCATACTCAAGTTATTTCATTTATTTCTAAGATCATCAGGCTACCATTTTTGACTCCCATGTGCGAAGCACAAAACGAGAGTCTTTGCACTTGGTGTGTCTGTCTGTGTGTCTGTGTCTGTCTCTGTTTGTGTCTCTGTGTGTGTCTGTTCCACTGATATCTCAAGAACCATACATTGATTTTTGATGAAACTTGGTACATAGATACTCTGGGCCAATGCTCAGATTTGATTAATATCAGTACATATTAATTACCTAATTTGCATAATTAATTAAATTTCAGCTTTTGATATTTCAAGTAGTAATCATCACATTTCAATGACACTTGGTACATAGATGTCATAGGACACTGCACAGACCTGATAGTTTTGAGGGTAATATCAGTACATATTAATTACCTAATTTGCATAATTAATTAATTTTCAGCTTTTGATATTTCAAGTAGTAATCATCACATTTCAATGACACTTGGTACATAGATGTCATAGGACACTGCACAGACCTGATAGTTTTTAGGGTAATATCGGTACATATTAATTACCTAATTTGCATAATTAATTTTCACTTGATATTTTAAGTAGTAATCATCACATTTCAATGACACTTGGTACATAGTTACTGAAGGACTGTGCAGACCCCTGATTAGTTTTTGGGTAAATATTTGTGCATATTAATTACCTTATTAGCATAATAAGTTAATTTTCAGCTTTTTGCCTGATATCTCAAGTACTATTCATCATATTTCAATGAGACTTGCTACACAGATCTTCCAGGACTATGCAGAGACCTGATTAGTTTTAATTGGATATTAACTACCTAATTTGCATAATGTTCCACTGATATATAAAGAACCACAAATTGGATTTTAATGAAACTTTTAAAGAGAACTATGCAGAGACCCAATTAGTTTTTGGTAAATATTTATGCATATTAATTACCTAATTAACATAATTAATTAACACTGATATGTCAATTACTGATCATCACATTTGAATAAAATTTGGTACATAAATGCTCTAGGACAATAGACAGGCCTGATTAATTTTGTGTTAAAATTTGTTCATATTAATTCTATAATTAGCATAATAATTCATATTTTTTCGTTCTGTTCTGTTCATATTAGTTACCTGATTTACATAAATACTACATAAAAAGACAATGTCATGACCTAGTCTGTTTGGGGTTCATATACGTCCTTTAAGAACTACGTAAAAAGATTTTTTGTTCCACACAATAGCTATCATTCCCATAATGCATTAGTAGACACGTAGTAGACACAGATGACAACTGATAAGAAATGTAACCATATTACAGCGTTCCAGGCACTGCTTTAATGCTGAAGTAGTGCTAGATATACACAATATTTTACAATAGGTTACACACTTTGTTTTCACATTTACATCAGTTAGAAATAACTAACTAGAAATATAAACATCAGCGATATATCAGAGAAATGATTGACAGATATTGCCCACAACATTTCCGCTACAAAGTCAGACGTCCCTATACTTAGTGGCTCGTGCGTCTTTTACATGTATTTACTTTTTTGCTAAAAGTTTAAGTTTCAGACATCGTTTTAGTTGCGTGTCTAAAAACCGGCATTCGTCCAAGTTGTTTAAACACCACGTTGTATAGGTAAGGAGTCAAAATGCAGTCGAATTGAGAACAAAACTTTTCGATTTGTATTTCGTGAACTGTCATTTGCTAGGATTGGACACCAAAGTGGTGTTTCAAAGCAGACTGCCTACAATATCGTCGAAGGATTAGTACCCGAGAGTATCGTGTCTACAATTTGATGCACCCCGGTGAGAAGTTCTGCCAAAAACATTAGGTGCCTGCTTCAATTTGCAGCACGTGTTACATGTGGTCTGCATTATTTGTAACAGTTTCTGAAAGTGTGAAAACAAAATGTGTAACCTATTGTAGTAAGTTATTCACATCTAGAACTATTTTAGCATCAAATCAATGCCTGGAACGACTGTAACTGGTGATTTAGGTCTGCCTCAGTTTGTTAAAATGTGCAATTATCTAACAATTACTATAACATGTTCCTGAAAAAATAACATTTACGATTTTCCCAGTAATAGTAATATTTGGCCTATTAATAATTGTATCGTTCCAAACATGGAACTCGTGACTTCATGAGTCAAGAAATTGAAAAGATACAATTATCAATATGTTACACATTTTGTTTTCACATTTACAGAAGTTGTTACAAAGACTTTTTTAATTGTGTCATTATGAATCAGATTCATAATGACAACACAAAAATAATTCGTGAATATTTGTATCGATTTGATAATGCCAGCACGTTATGGGTACTTGTTATTTATTTATATGGCTATTTAATAACCCGGTATTTGTAGAGTAAAATCGTAACTCGATTTCCTGTCATTTTGGCGTGGTATTGATTTGATTCGTTGGTGAATATTTTTGTTTTCATTTTAGGCTATTTTGATTTTTAATTATCCATGCCAATTTCTTTGGTATTGAATGACTTTTTCTGTTCAGTTTCACTACATTGTTAGTATACCAAGATAATCTCTATCATGTATCTGAACCTTTTATGTACACAATCGTTTTGTGCTATAGTACATGTACTTACATACGCATTATAACTATATACAGCTTAGTATCTAACAAACTTGTGTGACAAGAATACAAAATTCCAAAGTGGACATTAACTTGTGCAATGCCTTAAAAATATTGTTCTAGACATAAATAATTCATTTAATTGTGAACGTTTTCATTTAATATCTAATTTTAAGTTTTTAGCTCCGCTGTCGACTTAGTCGAGCGGAGCTTATCATATGAGTGATTGTCCGTCGTTGTCCGTTTCAACTTTTTCGACTTCTTCTTGAAAACTGCAAGCCTGAATGCTTTAATACTTGGTGT